ATAAATGTATAGTATTTAAAATGTAACAGCTTGTGATTAATTACAGCTCAATCAGTTATTCTTAATATGGATATATTGAACTTACTGATATTGGGATAAAGATAAGTTTTTAATATAATGTGTAACCCTTAAATGTACAAACAAAAAACATCTTAAATTTTGGTAAATTTTCATGATTTGTTGTGGAAAAGGGGTTCAAAATGGATTAAAATTGTGAAAATTTTAGTATTAGTATACTATTTTAAATAGTGAATGTGTGGGAATCACTTTGTTGCTGCCAAAATATCATTTTATGTCTATTAAACTTGAAAGTGAGGTAAAACAAAAATACATGTTTGAAGATGTCTGAGCAGGACTGTTTGTAATCAGTGTTATTTGTAGGTTTGTTCCTGTGTTGAGACTTTTTCTTTGTTTTTACAGAAAGCCAGCACTCTGGAAGCAGCAGGAAACATCTTAAAAAACTGGAGGAATATTTAACTGTTGGTGGTGACCTCTGTAGCAAAGATGAAAAGAGATGGAATTATCAATATGTTTACTGTATATATGTTTTACAGTGGTGGGCACCAGTCCGCTAAAGCGCAAATCTGCTAATTGCGGATCTAAACATTTTGTTTGCGCTTAAGTGGTTTTACTAATTTTTATAATTCATAAGCGGATTTGCACTTTTCAAATTTAAATTGCAGTTCTGCTAAAAACTAATTATCTATTGATCATCATTATCTTGAACAGCGGAGGGTATGGCTGTCAGGACTGACAAGGCATGTGATCCATCCAACAGCTCCCCTCCCAGCTAAACACTATTTTTGGGAAGGTATACGTCCTTCCTGACTGTCGCTTTGGGTCAGGGCCCAGTCGGTTCTCATTTTAGTAGGTCAGCTTTGCAAAGTATTTTTGCTGGCAGCAATCTAAATAACTCATATGGCTTCTGTTAAATTATAATAAACACAGTGCAAAAGACAATATTCAGTAGCCAGCAGGGATCCACATTTTACAGACATTTCCCACAATGCTTTGTGTCTGCTTACGTAGCAGGAAGGCAATGTTTAGAACTCCCTTTCCAAGCAAAAACAGTAAACGTTTGTAATCCATACAAAAATTTTGTATGTATTGATTTATTTTACTTTACAATCGGAGCTCCCTTTTTAAAAAAAATAAAGTTCAAACGCTGGAGCTCAATACTTGACATAATTGGTCGAAGCAATGGGGTTATAGACTTATGCTGACGAAGACTGACATCTATTGGTCAACTGGAGCAGCTGCAACTACATGGAAAACGTCCTGATGCATCTCCAGATAGAAAAAAAATCTAAAAGAAAAACTAAGTAGGTACTCTGGATGGGTTCTTGTTGAGTGAAACGTTTCATCTCTCCTCCAAGAGACTTCTTCTGTCTGATGAGTTTCAGGTGAACTGGAATCCAATGTAAACATGGAAAACTAAAATCCAAGCTCTTGTTTTGAAGGGAAGATACTAGTTTCTTGTTCTCTGTGCTTTCGTTTCCTGTCACAAATTTACCCAGAATTCATCACTTCAGTTTTCCTATAAACAGTTTTAACTTACTTTACTGATGCTTCTTTAATGAAAAATCTAAAACAAACAAATGAAAAAGACAAAGAAGCAGCCGAACTAGCAATCCTCAGCAACTTTTTAAAGAATCAACCGAACTAGCAATCCTCAGCAACTTTTTAAAGAATCAGCCGAACTAGCAAACCTCAACAAGTTTGTAATTTTTACACCATGAGCCAAAGTTCTGTTTCAGGAAATCAGATACCCAGCAATCGATGGTTGTAAAACAAGTTGTACAAGGGTTCAAACACCACTAGTGGGCAGCATTGTACATATGTTGTGCATGAATTGTAGCCAGCTAGATAGTGTCAAATTGAACCTGCGGTTTAAAATTAGCTTCCGCTAATATTTCTATTGCACAAGCGCTTTTGAAGTTGCGGACCTAAATATTTTCATAAGCACTTTAGAAATTGCGGAGCTAATTTTTGAATTAGCGCTGCCCACCACTGATGTTTAATCTTATGATTGGAGCAAAGAGCATTAATGAGTCACAGAATCTATTTTTGTGCCTTGTAATACAAAGAAACAGAAGAAAATTCCTAATGTTTCTGATTAAACCATTTTTAGGAAAGTCAAAAGTGTTCAGATGCTTTTAAAAAAGGTTTTGTGCCGTCTTCTTTGTGGGGAAGAGAAAAATAAACCATGCACAGGTTTTTACCTCAGGTTGGGCTTTTCTTCTAAGGTTTTGTAACACTACATGACTGTGGAGTAACTTTTTTTATAGTATTTGAATCTGGTACTTTTCAGGTTTTCATCGTCAGTCTGTTATAGATTTTTATATGTGACATTTTGACCTGTCACAGATGAAAAGTAAAACTATTTGGAAGTTTTTAATTTCAAACTTAGTTTAAGAAAAAGTCTTATGATAAGGCAGAAGTTGATCAAACATTATAAATGATGTGATGGATAATCCCATGTGAGATGTTACAAGATGTGTGAGCAATAAGACTTTCCATTGTGTAAGACTCTCAGCTACTACCACACCAAATTTAGCTCAGTTTCTGTGAATTAGACTTAAGTTATCACCCTTTTAGTTTTGGCTAAATGTTATTAGTTATAGTGGCCATCTTGAATTGGGCTCATTTCAGAAGTTGACCATTTGTACACATTTAGTGATTACTCAAGTCTCAGTAAAATAAGGCATTGTGTTAACAGGTGAGCAGGTTTCATGCCAACAGTAAATTAAAACATTTTAATACACAAATTACGTGTGCAGCACTCAGAATTTGTATCGTAAATGATGCTCGGCAACTAACGCACCAGCATTTTTGCTTAGTTTCTGTAAAACCGAGTTGTGGCCAATTTTTCGTTTTTATTGGTCAGTTGGCTGTAGTGTTTTTCTTGAATATGATGGATTTTAAAAGTTATAGTTATAGATGTACACCCATTGACATCTGTTTCATGGTTCATGAGTTTTTAAAAGAAACTGTCAGCTACTACCACACCAAAGTTCAGCTTAATGTCTTATAAAACTGGCTTAAGACTGCATCAAGCAGCTCTTAAACAGAGACCTTAGTGGTTTTGATTCTGGCTCACAGCTTGGCAGTTTTAAAGAGTTTACCATTTGCTTAATAATAGCAAAAGTGAAGGTTACAGTGTCTTTTACAAGTGTTCATACAAATAAACCTTTCACATTTTCTCCTGTTAAAACCAGAATTTCAAAGTATTTTCCAGGGATTGTATGTGTCTGGTATTTTTAACCTGTTACTCAAAACACACAACAACCCACCAGACATTAAATGAGACACCAGAGACCCAAGACAGTTTAAAGATATGCTCTGCAGAGGGAGAAGTCCTGTGTACTTAACTCAGTTGAAGTCAAGCCTAGAGAAGTTCTGCCTCTTTGTGGTCGTGATCCACTTTTATTGACACATAGAAATTACATCACATCAAGTCAACCAATGATCGTATAGTAGTCACATCGTACCATAATACAAAAACCACTCATAGTAGTTGCTATGTCATGTCATAAACATAGAGACAAATCAGAAACTGGTTGCTGGGGCTCGTACAACAGAAAGACATTTTTACCTTGTTAGTCATAACATTTTTTGCATATCTTTACTGGGACCTTCTGTGGTCAGACYGTTTGTCTAACCTTGTCCTTCTRGTTCTGCTTTGCAAGCTGTTTYGTCCTGCTCGCACACTATGTGCTTYTGTGGRTGCCATCAAGTTTAAAGCACTGGTCACGTACTGAAACTAACTTTATTTGGAACATAAAGACATCTATAAAACATATAAAACCTTATAAAAACCTTTTCATATCCCTCCTGTTGTTACAAATAAAGTAAAATAAAAGACAGACAACAAAAAAGGTGTAAAATAGGTAACACCTCAAACAACTAAACAACGTTCTCCTAGGATTATATGAAAATGATAAAATGAGTGAATAGATGCGTCTCTAAATAATACTAGTGAGCCTAAATAAAATGTACAACAGGACCTTAAAAAGCTCAGGTCCCTAAAGATAAAAGGAAGGAGTTACTTTACCACTGAGGATCGTCGTATGTGTTGGGATCAAATGCTGTGTCTGTGTCTGTGTCTGTATGTGGTTCATCTGTCATGGGGAGGAGTGCATAAACCTGGTCTTGGACTGGTTGTATAGCTGTGGTAATGACCCGATCAACCAAACCACGAATGCAAGGGATACAACAACATCCACACAAGGTGAGGAGTGCTGCAAACACAGCCACTGAGATCATAATAGATGAAATCAGTGTTCTATATTTACCAAACATGCTCATCCATGAGTCCCACATAGCGGTGTCAACACCTGAATGCTCTTTCATCTTTTTGTTCAGGGTCCTCAGACCATCCAAGGCCCTGGTCAAGCTTCCATCAGGAGCGGTGTTGTTGGGTATGAAAGTGCAACACTGCTCTCCAAAAAGGGAGCAGACACCTCCCCTTTCTGCCAACAACATATCCAGCGCAATCCTGTTCTGAAAGGCCATCAAAGATGTGGCGGCGAGCTGCTCATGGATAGTTTTAGAGCCTAATTCTGTTGCGTTTCCCAACGCTGCACGTTGAAATGGATGTAATTTATCTGATCCAAATTCTTGTTTGGTGTAATTGGGATTATCGCAGCTATAATAGGAAGGTTCTCAAAACCAGCGGCTATTTGGTCAGCTAATTTATACTCGTCGGGGACCCCACACGGTACCCCGATAGCATCTATGTGAGTTGGGTCGGGGCCTAGATCAAATACAGAGACATCTCTCTTGTTTCTATAGATGGAAGACTGACTCCACTGCTCTGGAATTAATGTTAACTTGAGTTATTACTTCTTCTGCTGTTGTGGGCAAGATAGTCACTGGCAAAATGAGGGTCACGGCTGCACATAGACCTGAACAATTCAGAGGTAACCTGTCATAGATCTGCTTGGTGCCACACCACCACCAGATGTCGCTACGGGACAGGGGTTTAAATATTCCAGGCACTATCACTGTGAAATTACAGAAATCAACAGGCACTTGTCCGATGGATTTAGACCCTGTAATGTTGATGCAGGTGAAATTCTGAGGAGCCACCTGGTAGGAGAATATGGGTTTCTCCCTTTCTTTGCTGGTTAAGGGATAAATCAGATCATACATGGAACAATTATCTGCAGGGACACTTGCATTCATAACAGGGATCAAACACTGAGGGACCATAGGGGCTGGAACCACACGCAGCAAGGGCCTTGGCCCCATGCAGATGATGTAGTCAGTGGCAGAAGCATTTGCAGCTTGCTCCGCCATGACTAACCAGTTATTGTTATGTTTAGAAATGCCTGTCATTACTCTAAACCAATCGTCGGCACTCACATCTCCATTAAGAACCTGGAGAGTGAGCTCCGGTGCACTAATGTGAGGGCCTTTGCTCACCGTCCCTGCAGCTTGACTGTGCGAGGCGGTGAAATTCTGGCACAGGGAGAAGGACCTAGAGGGGTCTTGGCCTGACTTGTAAATCCACAAGGAAAAGTGGAAACATGGAGTAGTGAGATAAGTACCCCTTCCAGCTGTTTGGCCTGGAATGGGTTTTCCTGTGGTGTTTAAAGTAATGTACAAGTTAGTCTTATCAGC